TTATGTTCACAGCATTTACCCCCTAGTTATTTGAGCCCGTGTTGAATTTTCTTTCTTTTTTGCTTTATCTAATGTTCAGAGTATGATAAAAGCAGCAGAAGAGGCTATTCCTAGATCTGCTGAAAACATTGCACTGGCTGTTGGGGCACTTTGTGCGGTAAGAGCAGGTCTCTTGTGCTTGAATTTTATAGTTATTATGCCTCTTTACTATGTCTCAATGCTTTGCTCGGCCTTAAGTTTTGCCTATGTTGGATGTTTGTTAGGTCTTGCCTCCATCTGCTCATACTGTTAAATCAGCTGCCTCAAAATTTCTGTTGAAGTGGTTGGTCCAGCCTGAACATGAACACCGCAGATGGTCTGCTGCAATATCTCTTGGATTGATCTCAAGTTGCCTACATGTAACTGATCATAAGCAAAAGTTTGAGAATATCACTGGACTTGTCGAGGTTTGTAAGTTCTGTTTGATGCTATTCTCGTTTCTGTCCTTTTGTATTTGATTTTTTTTTTTTTTTTTTAATTTGGTGTTGATCTCCCTGCCTATGAATTACCAGAGATCAGAAAAATAATCTTGATAGTTACCTTGATAAATAGGCATTGGAATAGTTTTGTGAGATTATCTGCATGTATTTTTTACCGTTAGTGCATGATTTCAGGTTATGTGTAGAAGCAATAGCACCCTCGTCAGAGGAGCTTGTGGGGTTGCCTTGGGTTTTTCTTGCCAAGATCTTATTACCAGGGTTGATGCTGCTGATAAATCTGACGTGGACAAAGAAACAGGCAAGATGTCAGAAACAGACTTGCTTGGTATGATAGTTAAGGCGTTGTCACTGATGATAGGTCAGCTCACTCAGTTACAATCTGATGTTTTGGAAAGTCTGTCTGAATATTTCCCACCTAGCACATTTGGTATAGATGTGAATGTAACTTCTGAACTGTCACATGAGAATTCTGATGACTTTCTCGAAGATATCTGGGGTGTTGCTGGGCTTGTTCTTGGTTTGGCGAGTTCTGTAGGTGCAATGTACAGGGCTGGGGCACATGATGCTGTTCTCAAGATAAAGGGCTTAATAGTTTCATGGATTCCACATATGAATACTCTGGTTCAAGGGTCTGGGTCTTGCTCTCGGGGTTCTGAGATAGTCTTATCAGTAGGGTCCTGTCTTGCACTTCCGATTGTAGTGGAGTTATGCCAAAGAGTTGAACTGATGGATGATAATGAAGTGCATCATTTAGTGAATGGCTATAAGAAGCTCATTTCTGAATTAGTGTCTGTCAAAAAATCTGGGACCTTCTATCAAAGCTTACTGATGTCATCTTGCGTAGGAGCCGGAAACCTCCTGGCCTGCGCACTAAACGGAGGGTTGCACTTTATTGAAGTTGAACATGTAAAAGGTCTACTGGAATTGTTCAAAAAATGCTATTCGAATCCTTATCCTCCTTTAGTCCATTTGGGTGGGATGCTTGGACTTGTTAATGCTATGGGAGCAGGTGCTGGGGTCCTGTTTGACATGCAGCCTCCAACCTCAGTGCAGACAGCTTATGACCACAAGGTATTTATATTTGTCTATTCTAAGAAAATGTATGCCTATTTTGTTGTTTGGTTTTTCTGATTCACGTGTATAAAATATTTTTGGTTGTGCTGAACAGGAATCTTGCTATCTCATGGGTCCTCTACTTTCAAGTCCTACTTGTGAGCAGTATTTGACATCGTTGATGCAGGATTTATTTCTTGTTGCACAGAGTTCTGATGACCATCAATTGCAACAATATGCTGCATGGGCAGTTTCGTTTCTTCGAAACCATTTGTTCTCCAAGAAAGTTGTCAATGTTGACAATAGTCTCAATACTGATGCAGGTGGTTCAAAATCTGTTTCCCAAAGTTTTGCAGATGACAGTTCAGTTTTGAAGCTTTCTTCATGGCTGATGCTTCTCACTTCTAGCGGGGTACATCTCTTGCTACTTGTTTTGTAATGGTGCACAAGTGTACTTTTTTCTTTCTTTTTCGGCCGATGAATACCTGAGACAAACTGAAATCAGGTATTTCATTGTTGATGCTAATATGGGTGTTTTCTGATATATTGAATTATTGTGTTCAGATAGGTAATGCTCCTCATGTTTGCACGGTAGCAACTGTGATAAGGTGCCTTTCACAAGCCCCTAGGCTGCCAACCTTGGATTGGGGTGCTATCATCAGACGCTGCATGAGATACGAGGCTCAGGTTGCTGAGTTGTTTCCAATAGACTTATCTCTTGAAAAGGGATCCCTTAGGGAGGAATGTGTAAAGTTCTCATTGGTTCATGCAAATAAGTTCGATCCACTTCTAAGTTTCCTTGATGAGCTGTCTGACTTGTCCAGATTCAGAACGCTTGAGTTAAAGCTGCAATCTTGTCTTCTCGATCATCTTGTAGATCTCATCAAAGTATTCTCAGGTTCCAGGCTTGAGAAAGTGTTTGATGATGTCTGTAGCTACTTCTCTTCGGTTACTTCATATCAATCATATGACACCAATGAGACAAGCTTATTACGGATTTCATGCTGGAAGGGTATCTATCGGTGTTTAGATGAGGCTTCTCTTGATTCTCTAGAGTACATATCCCACATAGAGAAGTGCATGGAGGTGCTCTTTTCCTTGATGCCTATGACGCAGTTGGCTGACACAGTAGGAGTAGGTGAGTGGCATTCTGTAGAGTGGTTGGAAACAGTCAGATGCTTTGGCAAGGCTCGGAAAAGTTGGTTGTTGAAGTTCCTGCAGGTATGCTTATAACCATATACTTCCTGAATCCTAATACATGTTATATGCAGTTCGGGAAGCAACTCTTATTATAGCTTGCTCTGCTTGAAGAATATGCTGATAATGAAAATGAGTTGCATCTTGCAACCTTCAGAAAATCCAATGATATTTTTTCTGTTGCTATTCAAGCTCAGTAGTTTAATCTAGAAAGTTATAGCGCTCTATCACTATGTTGGCTTCATTGTGTTGAAAGCCATTAAGATACGGAAGTTTTAATTGAACCTGCTTCCGCACACATGTTCAAGTCATTTAATTGCATTGACCTTACAGGTTACCCAGGAGGACTTGCAGCAAAGAGATGGACAGATTATCGAAGTTCTGAAAAAGATTCAAACCAAAGCTAAGCTCGTTAGAGTTGGCTCCATCCCACTGACTGAGCTGGGAAGGCTAAAGCCTTGGATATTGAACACTCAATCAAATGGTTAGGATTTTTTTAATTCTCCTTTCATTTTTGAAAACTGTAATATGATTAGTTTCTCTACGTAAGGGTTAATCAACATAAGAAAATGGATATAGTCTGAAAGGTTTACTCGAGCAATTTTGATATCCTTGACCTTGCTTTGAACTTAACATATATGCAGGTATATGGGATGTGCTCGTTGAAGTTGTAGCAGCTTTGCAACATGCAGATGGAAGTGTCAAAAGACAGTGGCTTGTTGATGCAGTTGAAATCAGCTGTGTATCGAGTTATCCATCCACGGTACGTGATGAGCTTTAATTCCCCTCGTTGATATTGAGAATTGCATTCACTCCCCTCCATTGAAGTTCATCTGGCTCTGATAATTAATAGCTATACGTGTTTGCTGTATCTAAATTTGTGGTCTCAATAAAAACTTGACTTTAATGCTTCGTTAGGCGCTACAATTTCTTGGGTTGCTGTCCGGTAGCTGGAGCAAATATATGCCGCTTCTGATTCTGGACCAACGTGCTGTGCTGAGTGATTTACCAGTTACTCTTTCCTCCCTTCTTTCAGACTCTAGTTGGGAAGGAGTTGTAGAACTCGCCATCCCTTCTCTTTTTGCGTCGACAGAACGCATTTACAATTGGGCTTCACATATCATGCGCGGTGAGGATATCCCGCCTGACATGCAAACTATTGACAAAAGTGAGAGTTCCATGGCTGTTTTCCTATCAAGAGTGATGCATGGTACCTGTGTATCTTTGAAGGATTACCTGCCTCTCGAGAAGCAACTGAAGCTTGCAAATATGGCGGTTGCTTGACATAAGATCGACCGATGCTGAGTCTGTTAACCGTTGTGTGCAAGTCAGAATGAGAGTTATCGGCATCTGATGTTTCTCTTTCTGAATCTCCGTCGGCATGCCTGTCATTTCCTTTATAGCAGAAGGGGGTGGAAAACTCCCTGATATCGACTATGGTGATCTGTGGCGACTGAAAGACTAATGTAATGGAATTTTGGAGTGTAATGTTGGAGAAAATTTTCAGCCTGCCGGAAACACGGTCTAATACTCAAAGTGTCGTAATATGATTGGTTGGAAATTTTTTTTTCAAATTTTCATCCAATTGTATTTATACACTTGTTGTAACGGATCATGTTTATGGCGCATCGAAAAATCTCTCATAATGTTGGCGGTTGCTTCCGAATGCCATACTGAAGCTCAGACTTCGTATGATATGTTGTTTTGATCAGATTATTTCAACATGTATACAAGTAATATTTTTTCTTCAAAATTATGGACTATAAAATAGTTGTATAATTGATATGTGTTAGGTCAATTAGTCAAGTTCATCCTTTTTACCTTAGCTCAAATCACCTTCTCCAAATTGGAAAAAAATAAAAAAATGTCACTTTACGAGAATTTTGAAATTAAATGAAAGTGTCCTTACCAAATAGTAAAAATACGGTGTCTTGCTAAAAAATGACGTTTGCAAGTTAACAAGGTTTTTCGTTTTGTGAGGGTTAAGAGAATGCCTATCGTAACGAGTAATTTTTTCACTGCATCAAAGCTCGACATAAAAGAATATACCCCGCTCATTTCTTATTTCTAAATAATCACATGACGAAAGTCCGTCAAATGATTATAAAAAGTCATAAATGCCCTTACTTATTCCGGTCTATAGGAGGGTAGAAAAGACTTTATCTATTTTTCTTTTTTGTCGAATTGACCCCAAGATCATTTATCTTTATTCGAAAATATTTTCCGAATGGTCCCAATATTTTGTTTATTTACACTTCCAGATGTCCAATTACAGAGTCACAGTCACAGATGCCTTTCTCTCTCGCGCGCTCCTGTCCATCCCTCTCGAGCTAGTAAATGAGTCGCGCTTCAACTCGTTCCGTAACTCGGACCTGGGTTTTACCGACGAACTCTCGCAGTCGCAGAAAACCATTTTCCTCCATTAATTTCTCACCAAAAATCTCAGCTTTCTCTTCTTCTTCTTCTTCTTCTTCGTCAGCACTGCAGACAATCCCAGACTCTCCCTCCAAATCAATCTCCAACCCACTTTACCATTTTCTCCCCCAAACCCAAAACCCTAACAACACAGTCGATCTCATCTGCTCCTCCCTCAAGCAAGGAAAACCCCATCTTGCCCTCCTCCAAAACGACATCAAAGGGCTTCTTCCCCACCTGGGTGCGCGGGAAATTTCGAGGGTTTTACTCAGGTTTCAATCCGATCACTCCTCGGCTATTGCTTTTTTCAACTGGGTCAAAAATGATTTGGGTCTCAGACCCTCCACCCAGAATTACTGCATTTTTGTTCATATTCTTGCGTGCTGTAAAAAGTTCCCGAAAGCCATGAATTTGTTGAGGGAGTTGATAGTGTTGTTGGGTAGAGATGTTTCACCAAAAGATGACATTTTTCGGAGTTTGGTTTCGTGCACCGAAGATTGCAACTGGGATCCGGTTGTTGTCGATATGCTCATCAAGGCTTATGTGAAAGCAGGTATGATCAGAGATGGTTTAAGCACTTTTAGAAAGATTGTAGATGTTGGTTTTGTTCCGAGTGTGGTTTCTTGTAATTGTCTTTTGAATGGGTTGGTGAAGTTGAATCGAATTGATCAGTGTTGGGATGTGTATGAGGAGATGGGAAGGATTGGGATACACCCAAATGTGTATACTTTTAATATTTTGATCAATGTTTTGTGTAAAGATGGAGATGTCGAGAAAGTGAATGCGTTTATGGAGAAGATTGAAGAAGAAGGATTTGATCCGGATATCGTGACGTATAACACGCTGATCAGTAGCTATTGTCGAAAAGGAAGGATGGAAGATGCATTTTATTTGTATAAGATCATGTATAGGAGAGGTGTGGTGCCGGATATGGTTTCGTACACTGCCTTGATGAATGGTCTTTGTAAGCAAGGGAAGGTAAGGGAGGCTCATAAGATTTTTCATCGGATGGTCGATAGAGGGTTGGATCAAGACGCTGTGACGTATAACACTCTTATTAGTGGTTATTGCCGTGAGGGGAAAATGCAAGAGTGCAGATTATTGTTGCACGAGATGATCAGAAAGGGAATTTGTCCAGATGATTTCACTTGTCGGGTAGTCGTAGAAGGATATGGCAAAGAAGGTAAACTGCTCTCTGCTCAGAATTTGGTCGTCGAGCTTCAAAAATTTCAGATATCGATTTCTCATGGTATTTACGATTATCTAATAGTTGCATTGTGTCGAGAAAATCATCCGTTTGCAGCTAAAAGTCTATTAGAAAGAAGTTCCCAGGATGGTTATCTTCCTGGTTTGGATACCTATAACAATCTAATCGAGTCTCTCTGCGAAAGCCGCCACGTTACAGAGGCATTGCTTTTGAAAGCCAAGATGGTATGTAAGAACATTAAACCCAATCTTAAGACATACAGAACTCTAATTTGCTGTCTCTGCCAAACAAACAGAACAGCTGAAGGTGAATCGCTAATGGAAGAGATGGTTGAATCCGGTTTGGCTCCTGATCTCGAAATATGCAGGGCGTTGATAAAGGGGTACTGCAACGAAAGAGATGTCGATAAAGCGGAAGCTTTGTTAGGATTCTTTGCCAAAGAATTTCAAGTTTTTGACAGTGAAAGTTACAATGCACTTGTCCAGGTTTTGTGTGAGGATGGTGATATGGCTAAGTTGCTGGAGTTGCAGGAGAGGATGATGAAACTAGGGTTTGCGCCGAACAGCCTTACGTTCAAGTATGTGATCCATGGATTGTGGAAAACTGCAACGCCGGATAAAGAAAAACTTTGTGTGTTATAAGTCACGATTTTTTATCGGTTTCTGCCAATTTCTTGAAAAACCATTGAAAATCCTGTTTCATGTCATTTCTGTTGCATCCTCAGCTTCTTAAAAGTTTTTTTTTTTTTTTTTCTTAACAAACGATATTATCTATACTAATGAGGAAGAGCTAAGCTTCTTAAAAGTTTATGTTAGCCATTTCAGAGATTTTCCGAACAGTCGGATATGACTTCCGAGCCAAGCTAGTATTTTGCCCTTTTTTTTTTTTTTTTTTTTTTCAAACTTAAAAATTCTTAAAAGTTACTTTTTGGGTCTCGATAAATTGGAAGACCGCTCTTAAAGGCTTACTAGTCAATTTTTATTTTTTCACAAAAATGACATGAAAAGTAAAAGTAATTATCGGAACGTCGGTCATGCCGTGACTTGCATCTTTCTTGGTGCTTTGGCCAAGCCAAAAAATGCCGAATGCGCGTCATGGCATGCCAAGCCTCGCTAGATGACATGTCGGCTACCTAAAAGTTCACGAAGATAATCGGCTAAAATTAAAATCAAAAGGAAAAATAGACAATTCCTAAAAGTTCCAGGGGAAATTGGCGAATACCTCTGTGTACGCATTCACAGGGCAGATATACAGAAACGCAATGGCATCGGACTCCAGTGAGAATTTAGTAAAAGAAGTGGATTTGGATCTATCAACTTACATAAAACAGAAAGGGAATAGAAACCCCAAGTAATTTTTCTATGTAACAATTTAAATGTTTCAACAGAAATTTTCAACTTTAATGCTTATTCTTGTTCCTACACTTATCTAAGAAGAAAGACGACCGACGCCGACGGACATGATACACCACTCAACTATCCTCAGGTGGATGTCAAAAATTAAGGCAATTCCCTTTTTACAGATCCCATGCGTGCAATAATAAACACTGGAAAAATAAAAATTTAAACAATTGCTAATTTAAATAAGGTTTTCCTGGAAGAATTAGAATTTCTCCGATTTAACGTTTACCTGACTGTACAAATCCGAAAATTAGCCCGCGTTTAGATTACAATGCATCGCCCTGAGATGACTCTTTGTCGCCTGATGTTGACCTTGGACTAGGCTCGGCATGTTCATCCGATTCCATGTCCTCAACACCACTTATTTGTTCAGAATGTTCCGGTCCATTTCCTGATGCAGCAGCTTCCTGGGAATCAATGCATGCTTCTTTATCTGCAGGCTGAGCATCAGCTAGTAATGGCCCCTTAGGAGTGGTAGATGGAGAGTTTTCTCTACCACTGCGGTCATTGCCGGTACTAGATGTCAGCCACATAAATTTCAGATCGTGTCCTTCCCAGCATTTACCATTGAGAAATGCCCTCTCTGCTGAGCGGCGTGTTGTGAAAGTTATACGAGCTGGCAATCTTTTGAATTTTCCAACTCACTATCACCTTCACGGGATTCCAGATCTTCTAATTCCGCATTAGAAAGATCACCATAGGGTGAAAAGTGTTCCTTCATAATAGCAACCTACAATGAACAAAACATCAGTTTACCTTTCGTTGGTACATACATAAAATATCTCAAGCCAGACCGATTCCAGACCATTTCATTATGATAAAACTGAAAATACGAAGGATATATGGAAAAAAAAACTTAAAAGGAGAAACAAAAAGAAGCCTATTTGCATGGCGTCGGCTACTTGAATGAAAGGAAAGAGTGAAAAGAATTTAAATTCCTAGTTGAAAGAAAAACTGCAGGCTCTCATTGTTACACGTTCCCATTTAGTTAATGAGGGTCTTTTTCACCTTTTGCGTGCAAAAATCTTTACTACGATAATCTTTTTTCATGAAAATACTCTTTCTTCTTTTAATAGACAAGTTAAACTAAGCAATGGCCAAAACCAAATGCGTAAGGTAAGGTCTTTCATGACTAGAATTTATGTTGTAGACTAGCATGTTTGCATTCGATAGAAATGATTTTGTGCATCTGCTAGAACTTTTACCTGATTTCTTTAGTAATGGGATCTAAAGTATTGCATGAATTCCTAATCAATGGTCCTAATGCCTCATCTCATGTCACTATCTTTCAATCTTACCATACTAACTAGAAAACAGACGCATTGCTTTATTGCTCATGATTATAATCTACATAATCTCGGACATCAAAGAGCAGAGTGTTTTCCTATTAGAAAAGTGCAACGATAAAATACAATTTCCAAATGAGAGAGAGAGGGAGACTTACATTTGCAAATCCAGCTGGTAAAGGAGGAAGAATTTTAAAACCAGTAGGACGGTTGTCTAATTTATATCTATTCAAAGGAGAAGGTAAACCCAGTGGTCCCAATGGACGGATAGTCTGCAGCTTCAAGCTAGGAGATTGCTGCAGCACCACAGGTGTACTGGGTTTTGGACTACAGGACACAATGCTCTCCCCTGATTTGTTCTTATCAGTCATTTCAGCATGCACTGCATCCGCAGGAGCAGGATTTGAGGAGCTTGGAGTCACAGCTTTACCAGCTTCGGTTGTTGTTCCCACTTTGGGTCTCTTAGCAGCTTGCTCTGTGTCTGTCTCACCCTTGGGTCCAGTAGCCTGCAAAAGGTCAAACCTTGATAATCACTGCTAATGAAAGAACATAGTTCTATAACTACCTCACTAATAAATTTGCCTCAACAACTTTATACACATCAATTTCAAACCCTTTTCAGGGTCCTCTTTGAAACCATTAAAACAGATTGTCTTGGCAAAGAAGAATAGTAATGCACATTAACATAGCACTATAAATTATAACATAAGAAAATTAGCAAGCCAAGATGTTATATGCCTCATACCAAACAACATTAGCAAGAAAATGAAACATTCAAGGCAAGGGCATTTGGTTTACTTGTTTCTCAAGCTTGTCCAACTGGCGACGAAAGTCATTCCTTTTCTGGGCCAGCATTTCCTGCTTCTTGCGAAGTTCCTCCTTCAACTGCTCTAAACTATCTAGCTTTTTCTGCAGAGGTGGGGCCTTGGGACCATTTGAGGTGATAGGCTTGGAGTTATCAATGGCAGGTAGAGAAGCATCAGATGCATGGACAATACTATCCTTTGGAGCAGCAGATTGAAGATTATCCTTGCTAATACTAGCACCAGATGAATGGGGTGGCACTGAACCAGTTGTTACACCATGGGGAGTTCCAGAAAAAATACTGGGAGTGCCTGTCCCCTCATCAGGAATCCTATCACGATTAGCCCACCACAACCTGATAAATCGGTTACCCATTACAGCATCAGGTGCCGTTAAAGCAGCTTCAGCCTCTTCCCTCCTTGAAAACTGGATAAAAGCTCGTTCACTATTTGATGGAATATAGATGTCAATGACCTCTCCAAATTTTTGAAAATGAGAAAGAAGAGCCTCCCTTTTGTTGTTTTTCTGAGGGATGCCATATACAAATAGAGTACGCAGTGCTTTTTGAGATGGCCTCCGAATGTTACGAGTGGAATCAAAAGGCGTCTTGGGTAATGAATCCATGGTGTTTGGGCCATCCTCTGCAATTATACGCTTTCCTTGACGCAGTGGCGTTTGAATGTTGACTAATGCCTCCTTACCTTCCTTTGTATCACTCTCAATATAATCTGAAGAATTTATTACAGGATCAATTTTCTCCTTCACATCTAATCTACTTTTTGAACTACCAATTCTACCCCACACGGACATGCTTGTACTCTGTGAACTGGAAGCTGTCCCAACGCTTCTAATTGGGAATTCATTATCAGCATCGTTCGACAAGGTTTCAGTTTCATCATTCCTGGGTGATTGCAGGCCTAGTAGGGCATTTGAGGTTTCGGGACAGTTATTATTCCACAGGGGTTGATCAGGGTCATACAAATCAGCACCATCTGCATAACCAGGACCAGAATATGAACCATTCAAGCCCAAGCCATCATCAGTGACAGCAGTCTTGCTCGTTTTTCCATATAAGCTTTTGCTATTCAGCAATGCAGTTGAGGATGCACTCACTGATGGTAGAGATCCAGGGCCTGTGGGTTTTCCCAGTAAGTGTGCATTCGGAATTGACACAGGGAGGTTGAACTGAGAAAGACTCTGTAATAGAAAGAAAATAGGACACAAATAAAAAACAGGCCAACAAGGAAATAAAGTTTAAAAATAATGAAACTCACATCCAAAAGAAATCCCAGCATTACTAAATGCATGAATGAGTTCAAGTCAAGCGATTCATTTGTGTTGTGAAAATAATACGACACCAAAAAAAAAAAAAAAGCTCATCTAGTCACAACCTATAGATTTAAGGCCAAAATATGGCATGCACATGCGAATGCTTCTACACTATATAATTAAACAGTCAGGCATAATGACTGGAAAGACGGTTGACGGTGCATACTGAAATATAATGCAGAGCTGCATCATCTCTCCCTCTAAGTACTTGCATGAAACATTCAAGTTGTCGCCAAGTTGTTAAATAAAACATTATAATTTGCCAAGAAAAAAGTGCTACATTAAGGTGAATTTTTCACATAAAACACCTGAACCCAGGGGATGTGGAGTAATCCTCAGTCAAGAGGCTTTGCCACAAAAACAAAAAAAAAGATCCCTACTTTTCAAGACATTGTGCAGTGTCAAATATGCTACTGATGTTCAAGTAACAGGAAAGATGTACAAGATAAATGTACCTGGACATCTTCAATAACAATCCGATTCACACCATGCTCCATTGGGCACATATCTCCTCTAAGACAAAATCCACGCTCCTCAAAGTCTCTACATCTTGGGAGAGGAATCCCCATGTTTAATGAAGAATGGATTGGTGGTCGGAGTGTTCCTTGCAAGCCAATGGAATGTAGTGTATCCATGGAACCATTTGGTATTCCTGGAATCAATCCAAATGCATTCCAGGATCCACTTTGTGCACTGGAAACATTTGGCAATCCACGCCCGGGAAAAAGACTCGGACGAATGGAGCCCTGCTGAACCATTTGAGAAGCAAAATCTGAGTTGAACCTAGGACCACGTTGGCTCCATGATCCAAAGTCCCTTCCTCTTCCCCTACCAGGACCAAGGTCTCCAGGAAATGCTTGGTTTGCCCGGATTCTTTGATTTAAATCAAAAGGTGCTCGAGGCAGTGATGTTGACCCCGGGCGTCTTTTATCAAACTTTACAGAAAAGTCAGTGGAATTTTGATTTCTCCATGGTGTACTCGCTTGAGAGTCATTATCCCTAAAAGAGTTCCCATTTACAAAAGGTTTGTTTCGGTTTCTGAATGGCCTTGTTATAACTTGATCAAGAGTATCTGTCTCCAAAGACTGAGAGCGAGTGTCTCGTCTACGATGCTTGTGGTTTCGATCGTCATCATCATCATCACTTAATTCCTTCTCCTCAGGATCACTAATGCAATCAGAAGGAGAAAGGCACCCCGGTTTTGGAGATGAAACTTTTAACTCCATTGATCCCTCAAAATCAATAGAAAGTTGGCTCATGCCACCAATAGTTCCAGTTTCCAAGTGCAGAAACCAAATCACTTGTTTGCCTACAAATATTCCAGCGAAAAAGCCTATAATTACTTTCCAAGAAAGACAAAAAGAAAAATGAAAATAATCAGAACGGACAATCATCTCCATTTAAGAGAAAATACGATTGAGACACAAAAAAACATTTGAGGTGCCCACACACCGAAATCCTTTCACCATTACCGTATCAACTTAATACACATAGTGCAATCAACATACACGCGCCAACGCAAATTTATAAGCTACTTAACCGCCACCCTGAAATAATTGAACTTTTCTATACAAGAATTGCATTCAATTTCAGTACTTCATCTTCACTAATTATCTAAAAAAGAACAATGATCGTCGAACCACTTAAATCAACATTCTAATGAAATGCTTGATGCCCAAAGCAATGATTAATATACCGAAAACCCAAATAATAATCACCAACCAATACCTAAATACAATTTTATAGATATTGGTAGGTGCTACCAAATTAAACTCCTAAAACCCATAGGCTTTCATGATTACATAAAAAACGATAAGTAATCCAATACAATCAACAGAATTAAACCTTACGAATTTGATTAGGCGATCATAATTTTAGGTTTAGAACGAACAGCAAAATAAAATCAAACAATTAAGCATAAAATCTTACAGATTGTTCCACAAGAATCGAGCAACAAATGCCTCCTGAAGCTTCACGCATAGGGATTGGTTCAGCTACGACACGCAGCGCGAAGCAATCCGCCGAGGGCATGGATGCAAATTTACGGAAGATACATAGCTGCAGAGGGAAGGGGGTGAGGGGCAAGGATCGTAAAAAAGTGGTAATCGAGGGGGGTTTATCCAAGTGGGAGAGAGAGAGAGAGAGAGGGGTTTTGCGACTGTGACTTGTTTGGGGGTTTGGAGAGCTTGTGCGGAGCAAAACAGGATTTCTGAGAGAGACGACGCTGTGCCAAAATTTGGAATACATGAAATAGTGTGGGGACGAAAAATAGAGCTGCAAAATTGCAATTTTCTACTATATCTTTTGTAAAATTATGAAAGTGTCTCAAAAGATTTTATTTTTTACAAACAAGCCATAATGCGCCACACCTAATAAGTATCAAAGTATCAAACTTTCTTTAACAACCGGTATCTCAGTGCATTAAGAGCATTCACTTTGCACCTAAAATCTCGAATTCAAATCCACCTCTCAAATAAATAGTATCAAACTTACTACAAACATTTCGTTATTGCATCCTTGAAAATGAACATAATACCTTCGTTAACTAGGTCAAGACCAGATAATGCCAAACCAACCATTCATACGGAAGACTCTTGTTTTCATTTTTTTATACAAGTTCAGAAGGGATTCTTTCTTTATTAATGGCACCTTAATACATCCATTTCCATGTCGAAGTTAGGTCAATTGACCAGAACACTATGCCTGCTTCCTTCCAATCGGAATTAGACTAGTTGACCAGGACACCGAGCCTTCGTTCCAATCAAGTTCGACCCCGTCTAATATATTAGAATAGTTCCACATACCAATTGTCAAGTAAGATAAAAATTACAAAAAAGAAAATGTACAATGAGTAAAGAAGTGGTATAACACAACATACCACTTCCACTTATTACGAGTAAATACACAAATGATAGGTAGAGAGATCGAGCAAGAGAAATGAAATACAAGAGAAAAAGCAAAGCACATAAAGGGGTGTAATCTCCTAAGTTCCAAGCGATAGATGATCTAGAAACAAGTGATACTTCATGTACATTCAGTCCGAAACCCACACCATACTATCGGCCATACCAACCCCGGGGCGGTTGAACATCCCCGTCATTCATCAACTTATCTAGCACCACATTGAGGTCAACTGACTGGCCGCTGTCTGTCAGCTTCCGAACTGCAGCCCTGACTTGGTCTCTGGAGAAGCCCATAGTTGCCACTTGGTCAATCACATCATCAATGGGTGCTCTGCTTCCACTACCGGATGAAGGTGAACTGCCACCCGGCCCAGATGGAGTAGGATTGGCATGTGGTAGCACCCTAGCAGTTGGGAGCTGTGGGTAACCACTGCCTCCACTTTGAGCTGTAGTAGCAGAAGAGTGATGTTGGGGTTTCATTGAAGAGCTGCCGCCATATTGAGAAGGTGGTCCACTGTATTGGTACGATTCACCAAGCCCAGATGGAGGGTTATACCCGGAAGGATACCCTGAACTGGGTCTGCTAGAAGGTGGCTCATATACATTTGCAGCTGGACTGTAATACTGTTGGGGTGGGGGAAGACTGCTGGGCGTATGAGAAGGTGGCTGCCGAAGACCAGGTGGGTAGTTCTGGGAAGGAATATAAGGCGACTCTTCAGGGTGGTGGCCTAGTGTAGGCTGGATCTGAGAGGGATTAACAGGGGCAAGCGAAGGGTGCTGTTGAGGCAGCTGAGGTGGTGGCTGGGAATACTGTGGTTGAGTGGTAGGTTGAAATTGTTGATGTGGTGGCACTGGAGGAGGCGGAACTGGCTGCTGGCCTGGAGGTAATTGGTATTGCTGATTTGGAGCTTCTTGAGTTTGACCAGGGGCTGGGAAATAAGGGTCTCGCTGAGGAACGGGAGGGATCTGGTTCTGAGAGAACTGATTTGGATGTTGAACTGTATGTGGTACACTTTGGGGCATAGGTTGGGGAGGAGCATTTGGATGAGAGACAGCAGGAAGTGAGGGAGGAAGGTTCACGGGGGGATGAATTTGTTGGTGAGAATGTTGAGGAGTAGAGGCGGCTGTCTGCCCAGAATCCACATGTCCAGCATTCTGAGGTTCCGGTTGAGGGTCTACCTTGGCATTGGATAATTGTATCCTTGCAAGATTCAGTTGAGCCTCTACTATTTCTTGCTTATCCTTCATATCCTTAACACCTGTTTGCACCTGTGTGTGTTGTTGACAAAAACCAAAGGGAGAAGAATGTTCAACAAAGCAGCATGAACACATTGGCCAACAACAAAGAAACATAAACATATAGGGCTAGTAAAAAAATATACTTCCGTCCGGTTTTCATGCTAAATCAACCAAAAACAATAAACCTTACTAGCTAGACCTTTCTGTAATCATACTTGGAGTAATCTTGTCGGGGTAAACATGTTTCCCAAAACTACCAACTTAAATGCCTAGAAGGGGATAAGTAGACATGAATTGGCCGTGTAGCACACAGACAAAACTTAAGAACAAATGCTGGTCAGATGAATAGATGAACTACTCCAAGATGAAAAGAAGACCAAATGCAACCAAGATGTAAAGTGCACACCAAAAAATAAGGGTAAAGAGGCAACATACATCTCTAAGAATACCCTCCAACTGTCGCATCTTTCCATCAGCATTCCCATGATTGTTTCCAACAGATATCTTCAAATCATCGACAGAATTCTCAAGATTGCGGGTTCTGCTCTCTAGTTGTGTTAGTCGTGCACTAACACCTTCCAACACATGTAGCAAATTATCAGTATGCTTCTTCATGGTCTGGTCAATCTCTGACACAATTGCGGCATTGTGTTCCTTCTCTAAAATAAGTTTTCCAGGTTCCAGGGAATCCATTGAACCATAATTCTGTAGAAAACAAGGAAAGAGTAGCACCATGTAAATGTAAATAAACCACACGATAAAACCCACATACAGTTACCGCTCATATATCCCTTTCCAATTGTATACAACAAGGATAAAAGCCCATCATGGTCGACAACACATTAATGCTTCTAATAACATCATCTACAACCGATCTGCTCCTAAATAATACATAACATAAGTCGAAACAAGATCAATCAAAAAGCCGCCATGCTAGGACAGGCTCCGCCCACGGGAAAATTCGGTATAATCCTCCATTAACAACAAACCCAAAATTTCAATATGCTAACTACAAACAAAACTATACAAAATCTCACTACAGAAAGAAATTAAACGTATATGTTGATGCATGTATTGACTGCCTACTTATGAAATTGTTCTTACTCAACTGACCGGTCATTCAATTCCCCAAGCAATCTAATGTAGCTTTACAGAAAAATTGCAGATTCAATTAGATCAATAGTTCTTGATATCATCATATAATCTATTGGACTTCCAACTTTAAAAGTTAAATTCAAGTCCAAGTGAAAATCGAAGAACCAGAAAAGGCTCCGCGATTCCGATTCACTTCCGATCACTATGACGAGTTTACACGCAAATGCAACCATGAAATTAAGCAGTTAATGGAAGAAATTATTACCCTGATTGGAGATGCAGTTTTCGACTTGGACTCGCCGGAGTTCCAAGCCCTAGTCGCTCCTCCTCCTCCGAGATTGGGCGCAGCATCTAAACTCCGCGACGGCGAAGAAGCACCGACGACGGGGCGAATCGGCTGGAAATCGTAGCTGGGAAGCATCTCCTGATACTCCTTCTTCGAGATCCCATTTCCAAGGCCGGCACCGCCGATCTGATGCTCTTCTTCTCCTCCGCCGTCTTTGCGGTGGCTGTTATTAGCGTTGGTGTTCATCTTGATCAGGTCGATGAAGTCGTCGCTGTGATGCTGCTGCTGCGTCGAGCCCTGCGACAGATCCATTATCTGCTTGTCCATAAACGACGTCGTGTTCATCGAGGAAATCCAACCGCGGACCGAGATTTTGGATGCTCCTTCTCGGGTTTTGGGAAATTGATATTATATTGATGTTCGACGAAGTTACGAATTAAAATTGCTTCGTTGCGACGTAAAAGCCGAATTATATAGGACTTTGGATATCTTAATTGCATTTATTTATTTATTTATGTTGCAATCATATTTAGAATAAAATATAATTGTGTAAATTCTAATATGTATATATGAATATATCTAATATTCATATTAGGAGTTGATTACCTGTTGAGAGTCGTAATTCTAAAAGGGTAAGGTTTTTGACTATCGTACTAGTATAAATAAAGGCACAATGAGATGATACAAAACATATCTCACAATTAAATCACTATCTCCTCTCTCTAATTGCCGTGGACCCCTTCTCTCTCTAATCTCTTAGATAGTTCAATCAAATAGGCTTACAACATGTTATTAGCACGCTCTTACCAGAAGCTGAGAAATTGACGGATTGTATGAGGATGCTATCTTCCACAAAATTCAAAGGCTTATCTTAGTTTTCTGCTAATCATGTACACTTAATATAAAGGAAGATATTTGAAACGTCCACGAAAACTAAGGAATTGACAGATCGTAGGAGGATGCTATCTTCCACAAAATTCAAAGGCTTGCCTTGGTTTTCTGCTAATCGGGTACGTTTAAAATAAATGAAGATATTTGAAACGTCCACGAAAGCTAAAGAATTGACGAATCGTAGGAGGAGGCTATATTCCACAAAATTGAAAGGCTTACCTTGGTTTTCTGCTAATCAAGTACGCTTAAAATAAAGGAAGATATTTGAAATGTCCACAAAGCATGAAAACATTCTTCATGATGCATGAACTCCTTTATGTTTATATTTTCCTTACAATTTATATATTGTGTATGTTTATATATTTGTCAATATATATATATATATATATATATATTTGTTTTATGCATTACGCAATTATATTTGCTATGTGGAATTGTGAGTCAAAGCATATAAAATAAATTACAAGCAATTTTAGGTTTTTTTAAAAACCCTAACATGTCGGAAAAAAAATCTGGGTTGATTAGCCCTAGGGCTTGCAGCCCTCGGTCCAAACCCCTGAGTCTAACACGGCCTAACCTATCTGATGGGCCCTTAGCTTGCTGGGCTTGACCCTCCCAATCTACGTGTCGCAAAGCCAGCGTAATAGGTTAGGTTTCTTTTGCCCCAAACCCAACCCATGGCCAGTTATTGCTGGCCCTGACACTTACCCCCCACCCTCATTCGCCCCAAACCAGAAAACCAGTTGCGGTTAGGGTTTCTCTCGCACCCGTATGCCTCTGGGCTACCCATGCACTATGGTCTTGGCCCAATCACACTAGCGGCTTGCTGCTGGGCTCCTGTCACTCGGCCCGTGGGTTGTTATGGCAACCACACTCGAGCCCTTTGCTCACGGCACCTAGCCCAATTTTGGGTTATGGTATTTTCGACCCAACGTTATTATTTTAACATTATTTTGCTTCTACAGTCGACCATGTATGGCCCAATTTATTGAATTAATTAAAAGTGACTTGCAGTCCATTTATCTGATAATGAATCCAAAATTATTGACCTAAATATCACTTTTGGACATTAACGATTCAATAATTTATTTTTATACTTTGAATCGTTCACATACTTTTGTAGTAACAAATCTCTCACACTTGAGTTCCTGAAGAACTTCAAATCCACTACACTTAAATTAGTATATTGCATTCTGTGTTTCTTGTAGGAACATCTCCTTATGAACTAATTGTTCATAAAAATTAAATTGAACCTGTTGTTTCAAATTTAGTGCTTTTGAAACCCGAAGTTTTCATTCAAACCATACCACATGAAACTTGTAGTTTTCATGCATAAATTAAACCAATACATGTTTATAGAACCTGTGTGTTTTACGATATATGTCTATGGTTTACCATATGACTAATCACTTTTTTTTCCCTCCGTTTTAGGGACATGTCGAACTTGAACAAGCTCAATTTCATCGCTCTAGAAGTCTCTGGAAGAAACTATCTGAAATGGGTTCAAGACGTGAGGCTCCATGTAACTGTAAAGGGTATTAAAGCCATCATCAAGGCACCCGCCGACAACAAACCTGTCGACAAAGCTCAAAAGGCTAATGCAATGATCTTCATTCAAAGACACATCCATGATGCACTGCAGACCGAATACCTCGCTGAAGAGGACCCACGCACCCTCTGGCTTGCTCTGGCTAACTGTTTCGATTACTAGAAAGGCATTTACTTCTCTGAAGCAAGACATGACTGGCAGTATCTTCGCTTCCAAGACTTTAAGTCCGTGAATAAGGACAACTCTAAAGTTTGTAGAATCTGTTCACTGCTGAAATTCTGTAAAGTGGAACTAACCGAATCAAATCTCCTGGAGAATACCTATTCGACATTCATGCCACCAATATTCTCCTGCAGCAAAAATATAGGGTACATAAATTCACCAAATTTTCAGATTTGATCTCTATTTTACTTATCGCTGAAAAGCAAAACCAGCTTTTGATGAAGAATCATCAAGCTCGACCCACTGGTTCGAACGTCGAGCTTGAAACGCATGTGACCAATTCTAGCATCCACAAATGACAAAAGAACTATCCTGGCTGTGGCAATGGGCAGCAAGCCCAACCACCGGCCCAAGGTCAACAGAGTGCTGCACCTAAGGAAGGAAATGTGGCCCAATAGTGTCCACCACTTGACCCTAAGGCCCCAAACTTTAAGAACAAAGGAAAGCTCCCGTTCATTTAGCTTCTACTGAAATGGATATGTGTTATCGATGTGGATCAAGGGATCATTGGTCACGTGTATGCCGAGTTTCCCCTAAGGCTATTGCCAAGTATCATTCTCGTCGTGAGTCTAACCTTGCACTTGTGGATCATCTGGAAGATACTACTACATCAATGGAGATATCGGATTTTTAGGAGGCGTCAACTCCTATGGATGAATAAATTAGACATATTTTTAGGGTGTTTACCCCTATGGCTGAACCTACTAGGAGTGGCCGGCCCCTTCCCCTTATTTTTCTAGGTCTATGGTTTAATTTTGAACAATTTTTCTAAGTTTTTGGAATAATTTGTTTGGTTTTGGTTTGTTTTAAATTATGGATTGTTATGTAATGGATATTATTTCTTGAATTGCTTAATTGAATGAATGAATTATATTTATGCATATGACCAATTCAATCAATTTATTTCTAGGCATGTCTAGTGGGGAAGTTAGTTGTCTGGGAGATAATGCAACCACGCACATCATATTGCGTGAACGACATTATTTATTTTACTAACTTAATACCTAAGAAAGCTCATTTGACAACTCTCTCAGTCCCGTCCAACCTGATTGAAGGATACGAAAAGGCCCGTATCATGTTGTCCAATGGTATTACTTAACCATTAAGGAGGCACTCTATTCTCCACGTTCTGGAAGAACGTTGCTGAGTTTTAGAGATATTCGAGATAATCAATATCATATTGAAACTACTGAAGATAATGGTTCTGAATTTCTTTGTATCGCTTCGTACGAATATGGCCAGAAGCGTATTCACGAGAAGTTGGAATGTCTCCCGAGTGGGTTGTACATCACAACCATTCGCGACATAAAAGCCCACAATGTGGCTGGCCTTATGCCTGAGTTCCAAGACACTTTGTTGCTTTGGCATGACCATTTGGGACATCATGGACGTGACATGATGTGCCGTATCCTCAAATCATCACATGGGCATCAGGTTACCTCTCTATATTGGATTCCTGCCATGCAAAACATGTTCTATAGGGAAGTTGAATACTCAACCCTCACATACAAAGATTATTCATGACCCCCTCTAAATTTCTTCAGATGATTCAAGGGGACATTTGTGGACCTATTCAACCAACATGCGGACCATTTCGATACTTTATAGTGTTGGTTGACACAATAATGCTACAATTTAGCAATAATTATCTACAATTAAAATATTTTCTTTCCAAAATAGTTTTAAATAGTTTTAAATCCCCCAAAATCAAACGTATCGAAACAAGTTTTTCTTTTAGTATGTTAAGAGAAAATAGGATTGGAAATAATATAAATGTACCAATACACAATGTATACAAAATAAAATGTACCAAAATAAAAATAATGTACCAATATTAACAATATGTATCAAATCAAACGTACCAAAATTGCAAATAAATGTACAAATTAATGATTTTTGCAAATTCAAACATACTCGCAAATAATATATAAGTAATGTATTGTACCTAATAATAATTCGTCAACAACTATACTTAAAAAAACAGCAAAAAAAAAAAATTGAAAAAATTACACCGAGCTTTTATGTTGATCACCAACTATTTGAAAAAGAAAAAACCATGTGGAAAAAGGAATAATTTTAAATGTTTGCATAAAAAAAATAAAATAAAAACTGTGATCGAAAAAAGCATATTTGGAGGAAGATAAAATATAGTTTAATTACTAATATCTCCTTAAATAAGAAAAAGTACATCATGCAGATAAAAAGGTAAATTCAAATTTTATTTTAATTTAAAAAAAATAGAGATGACTATAGGTCAAAGTACTTAATCAAAGTTTAAAAAGGCACATATGTTTAATTTAAATGACATAGAAAAACTGTAGGGGGATTCTAATTTCCCCCTTTTTATATTATATTTTTATTGTTTTTCTCCGTTGGTGTCTGTGTGCACCCCAAGACACCATTTGGCATCAATGTAACTATCTCCTACAATGCCACCTATCACTTTACTTACAAGTAATTTCCGTTTCTATGGTGCAATTAGCCCAGAAAATAAAAGGAGTTTCACGTCAGGCACATTTATGATTGCATACTTTTCTTGTTGAGTATTATCTGAAGTTAGACAACTAATAATCTTTATACCTCAACACTAGACCACCACCTAGACTGCTGCTAACATTTTAAAATTACTACTTTTATGCATACAACATTAGTATGATTACTATTGAGATTTGATCATGTGACCATTGGATGAGATTTCAAATTCGATTTGATCAAAATTTGTAGTTTAATTGCTTATAATTGTCCATTTGTTGCGAGTCATAACTTAAAAGGTTTATGACTGTAACCATAATTTTTTTCATTTATTTTTTTGGCAACAAGAATTCGATGATGCCTCGGATTGAGGCAATAAGGTTGGACAAGAATGTGTAGTGGATTATATTGATCAATTTACAACTTATGAGGATATTCAAAGGAAAAGATGTGTGTTAATTACTTTTAGCATTTTACTTCTAAATAAATATGTGTTACATACATATATTCAAAGGAAAAGATGCGTTGATTAGATGGGTTCGTGAATAAGGAAAGCTGAATAATATGATAATTGTTATTATAAGATCTGATTTAGGAGGTGAAGGTAAGATTGTGAGTCACCCTCAACTAACACTTGCTTGTGAAAGAAACGGTACATATCCGCCATACAAGTGTGTTTTAGCATATGGTCAAAGGTCAAATGAGATTGGTTACACACAAAAAACAATCTAGGAGTTCTTGTACAAAAAAAAATGTGGATGTCCATTCTTGTTGAAAGGTGTGAATATTGACGATGAGGACGATTGGAAGGTGTGAACATTTTATCCACCTTTTGTATATTCATCACCTATTCATCTCTTGTTGTTATAATAATCTTGCTGCCCGGACCAAACGATTCATGTTCTATCGCCAATTCTTCTAATTGGTCCACATCATCTATGTCATCAACTAGGACAAGTACCTTCATGCTTCCAAGTCTTTTCTCTATCTCCTTGGTCCCTTCAACAACACTGCTTACCTTGATGTCAGGCTGTTTCAAAATATCTCGAAGAAGTTGTTCTTGCACACCACCCATATTTTTCTTTTTACTCATCACCTCTTCAAGGTAACATTGACCATTGAAACTATGCGGATATTTGTTACAAATGGCTCTCGCAAACGTTGTTTTGCCTATACCATCCATACCAGAAATTCCAATTATTTGAACATTAAGTGAACCTCCAACATCTAACTCCAACATCTAAGTGTTGAGTATTGAAGTCTTGCACTTGAAAAGCTATTCCAATTGAGCGCTTGGCTTCTTTTGAGTTTGTGATTTTCAGTAGTCCCTTGATGTCTCCAATAATTTTCTCGATAAACAATCCTTCACGTCTAACAATTAAAATTCAAAATTATATAAAAGTAAGATTCATCATGCAACTGCAAGATTTATATGAACTAAATGCCTCATTCATCATGATTAGATATTTTGATATCGAAAACGTTTGGAATAAATTAGATTTGACCGAGGTGAATAGTTAAGCTCAATTCAACCATGCTTCTGAAATGCATTATAACCGTATAAATAGACATGCTTAATAGTTAATTGGATTGCTCCTGGTGAAAAAATGTAAAGGATTCGCCCTTCACGCATTACCATCAAATCAAGCATGTGACATGTGTTTCCCATGCTTCATTTTAATGAAAATTCTCATACAATTAGGCATAAATGATCCATATTTCACATTTTGTTAAATTCAGATACTAACACTCAACGTTTTTTTTTTCTTTCCCCTAAAGACGTATAAAGTCAAAGTCTGATTATAATCTCCTTATTTTTGGTGGACTAGTGAGTCTTAGTAAATTGAAAGGAAGAATAAAAAATAAAAAAATTTAAAGTAAACAAAAAGTAGTACCCGTCTGCAGTGGTTTTGAGATTCCGGCCACTCAAATCTGCAGAAGCCTTAAGATCCTTTCTCCACTGCTTGACTTCATTTGGATCTTCATTCCTTTTGTGCTTCTGAAATGCTTTCGAAAAACTACCATTCTGTTTCCTGACTTGAGAAGGGTCAACGTTGTAGAATATTGGATAGACTATTTTCCCCTTTTGAACTTCTCGGCACCTCATGATCTTCGACAGCTCCCTCAGGCACCATCGGGACTCCGCGTACCTCTTCGAGAAGATGATGACGGCGATCCTCGACTCTTCGATTTGTCGGTAAAGTTCACTCTGTATATTTTTTCCCATTCTGAGCTGGTAGTCTATAAACGTGTTGATTCCGGCATTGCGTAACGCAATGGAGAGGTGGTCTGTGAAGGTATTGCGTGTGTCGTCGCCTCTAAAGCTCAGGAACACCTCGTACTTCCAGCTGTTTGAGCGCCTCGAGGGAGACGAAGAGGAGGCAGCGGCTCGATGGGCAAAGTTGTTAATACCCTTTGCAGCCCTTTGAACGCCGGCTCGATGGGTGGAGTTGCTGGTACCCATTGCAGCCTGTAGAAGAGCAGCTTGACTTTCAAATACCTAAAGTCAAGTCTTTCCCAAGATTACACTGCGTAGCGGCCTTTTAAAATTTTTTGCATTGGTCAATGATGTCACTGAGTACGCGTTATTGCTATTCCTCCCATAGTTTAATTTGTATAAATGTTACTATCAAATTTTAGAAAACAAATTTGTATAAATGCTTTACGAATTATGAAGCAATTTCCTTTTTTGTATTTATTGAGAAAACTGTAGCCCAACTTTGACCAGTTTCATGTCTGTTATTGTATTTTAATGATGATTTATATGACAAGTTGAAAAAAAAAAGTACGTAATTTCATATGACATTTAAAAAAAAAAAAAAATCATGTTCTCAATTGTAGAACATAACTCTAACCATTTATTGCTGAAACATGTTAATCCAGACGATGATACGCTTGTTAGTTCTATCTCTGCTTGTGCTCAGTTTTTATTTTGGACTTGGAAGTTGTGGGCACGGTGTTGCTGTTAGAAACGGATTCAACTCTGATGGACCTTTAACTAATGCATTGGTGACGGGTTCTGTCAAAACCGCTGCTAGCTTGTTCCGGTTGCGGAGAAAAATGTTATTTCTTGTTGCTCTATGATTGCCTCTTTCACAGCAAGAACACTTACATCTATGATAGGTGAAGAGAGAAATTTCCATGACATGAGTGGTTTATAGAACACTCATGGCTCAAGCCACCCCCTAAGATATGTCTCTAATTAATGGTGTGTAAAGACACATTTACATGTAAATTTCTCTAATGTCACAGATCAAATTGAAAATCATTAATTTATATTTGATAAGATGATAAGTTACTTATGTTTAATTAAGGACCCGTGACATTACTTCTCTAGAAAGTGCTTAAGCTAGAAGTGCTTCTATTATAACCACATTGAAATTTTTATTAGAAACTCAAGTACATTCTAAAAAACCACTCAAGGATGCTTTTCGAAAGGGAAAAAAAAATGGCGTATGCTTCTGCATGAACCGCTTTTTAGAGGAAAAATGACATGATTGGGTGAGATTTATAAACAAATTGCTTCGTGCTTCATAATTACTTGGCAGTTTGTAGTAAATGTCTATGTACCTTCCTTACAATTCTCTTACCTTCAATTCACTGTTGTTTCTTCATCCTCAAAGCTTTCAATATTGAGATCAAACCTTAATATTTTGCAGACCTCATCAGATGAATGATTGCTTAACTTTGTACCGTCATCAGTGTCGTCATCAAACTCATATGGTATAGTCTAATAGTCCTCCTCATCAGACTCACATGGTACACGCTCATGGTCCACATTTTTTTTAATTTCGGAGGTCAACCTGTTCCCATCCTACAAAATTTACTCTTGTTTTCTTCAACTTAATTTGATGATCATCCTCTGTTCCAAAAAATTTTGCATGCACACGAACCTTGTCGCCACTTTTCAGATTGAACTTTCCGTTTGAAAGACTTCCCAGCCAAAGATAATCTTCATGGGAATCAATTATGGTGGCATCTGTTCGCCAGATGGAAAATTAAATCCGCTGGGTATGATTAACCACATCAATGCATAGAGACCCACTACACTGGGATGGTCCGAAGAATAATCGATGCACACAGCCAAACCCTCCTATATAATCAAAACTTGGCAGCACTTCAAATTTGACATTTTCTCCCTCTCACATGACATAGGTTAACCATTAAGGAATAACATTTCAAGAGCGACAAATTCCACCAAAATCCATCCCCCACCTTCCATTTCTACAACACGGCGTGCAAAGTTTTTATAAGCGACAATACGACAAGGGGGGGAGAGAGAGAGAGGGAGAGAGAGGCTGTCATGCAACAAAATATAAAAACTCATATAGGACAATTAGGACAATTATGACTCATTGTAATCTTACAAGAGTAAGGTTTTTGTCTATCCTGCTAGTATAAATAAAGGTATAATAAGGTGATACAAAACACGCATCATAATTAAATCACTCTCTGCTCTCTCTCTCTCTAATCCTTTAGATAGTTCAATCAAATGGGACTATAACAATTTATTATTTTTCTTTTGATTTGTTTATTATTCTGTTTTCTAGACTATCTTGATGGAAGGCCTTTGGGTTTTATATTGGGCCAGAAAATCCTTTTGGTGTTCGGACCCAATTAGTGTGCATTTTATGGGCCAAGAACTAAGGTCATCTCCAACTGACCCGGCCAAAGGGTCATAGGGCTAAAAATAACTCAGAATGACACGAAAACCATCTCCAATCAAGGACTAGGCGAAAGGGCTTGTGGGCCCCACCGGGCCAAAACCCCAAAATCAGGCTAGTAGGCTGGCCATTTCCAGCCAACCTTCCAGAGCTAGAATGTCAAGCTTGACATTTTGCTAGCCCTCCAGCTTAGCCTATTTGAATACCAACAGTTGCCGTTAGGTTATCGTTGGAATTTGAATTTTTTTTGGACGAATTTTTTTACCTATAAATACCTAAGTCATTCCTACACAATTTCTCACATACTTTTCACTTTAGCGTTACTCACTTTAGCGACATGTATCACTCAAAATCCTATCCGAAAAATTATTAAGATTACATAAAGTTAAGAAATCTGGAGAGTTACTCACGTTACCAACACATGTCACTCGAAATCCTATAGAAAAAATTATTGAGATTATATAAAAATAAGAAATCTGAAGGCTTATTCATTTGGCGATAAGTGACACTCAAAATATGTCTAAAAACCTTATTTTAATATGGTGGTTTAATTTAATTAACCATATTAATTCAATTAAAATAATAAATTATGTTTGCCCTATGACCCATTGGCCCTCTCGGTTGGAGATGATTTTTTGTTAAAGGGCTATATTTGGCTTATAGCCCTTTGGCCCCTCGGTTGGAGATGATATAAAATATGGCATGACATTGTTCATTAAAATATAATTTCTTGGGAGCTATAGAAATAAAGGGAGCCTTTTGGCCCTCATTTGGTTAAAGATGGTCTAAAAGAAAGATGGTCTTATTATTCCGTAAGGTGGTTCGACCTGAACTGAACTATTTCAATCAATGTGAGAGTCATGGTGGTCGGGACTTTCAGTTGTCACCGTCTTAACATATCCATCCCAAGCAATCTTATAATTAAAAAAATTTCATCTGTTTTTTGCGTGGCTGTCAGCCGTTACTAGTAAAAAATGAGGACCAATGCTCCAGCTTATCTTTTGCGATGTCTCAAATCTAGCATGAATGGTTGTCTATTTTAATTTTTTTCGTCGTTTGAATTATTAATTTGAGACATCGTCACTTTGATCTCCTTGTCTTATGCACAACAGTACAAATCATTCTCGATAAACAGGCTCTTAGGAAGAAAAACTAGTGAGGTATATCAAACGCTATGCCCTTTGAAAGAAAATACAAGTTATTCGAGTTAACTGACTACAATGGCCCACTGTGTCTCCGCAACTGCAGGGCTGCAGAGGCCCCCGTTGTGGGGTTGTATTGGAGTAGATCCAAGAAAATTGAAGCAAAGACCAAAACCCTACATATAACCATTACATCTGAAATATTGAAGACTTGAAAGTTCCTAATTAACGAAAGAATGCAATGGTTGCTTTTTATTTTTTGATCTGGGTGCAATATGCCACCCTAACCCGAGAGGGCTCGAGGCGTGCTTAATGTGATCTCAGTATGAGGTGATAATGAATCTCTCACCGTCTCGACTTAAATCCCCATACAACCATTCACTTCAATACCGATTCTTATTTTTCTTTTGTTCTAAAAAGAATACATACCACAGTAAACACCTTTACCCCCACAAAATATACACAACCTCCTCTTTCGTTTATTCCTCTCATTGCAAATCTAATTACTATTTCCTACCATGGATCAATCACTAGCCGGTTTACCGGAAAATAAACTTTACCACCGGTTAGACTTTAATCGTTGCTCCGGTTGAGTTTCAGTGCAGTCTGTCAAATTAAAACATGATCATGTTGATGAGCAAGGGTACTGGAAAAGGAAAGTGAAAGTCGAGGAAAACGAACAAGAGCACCATGACTCAGTTCTGAAATGTACCGTGTTAAGAAGCCTGAGAGCAGCAGGGCGGGTAAATTTTCGAGCAAAAAGAAAGCAACGAGATGGTTTTCCCTTGCTGCTACACCATTCTCTCCGGTATTCAGTCTCGTAGTAGACATTATCTATCTCCTGAACATAAATTCATCAAATTACATTAGGAATCTGATAGTCTCTGTAAGTTAACTTTCCAAATCAGCTGCAAAGTTACGATTAAATTCAAACGACGTTCCAGAAAAATCTCTACTGATATCAACGATTAGACCATTGCAAGAGTTTAACGGTCTCAAAACTTGTGAAAGAAGAGAAACATTTGGATTCCATTAGTCTCATATAATTTCTTGTGAAAAATTAGTGAATGCACAGGTTGAAAACTTTGTTGGACAACCGTGCCGTTTCTGTCAACTTGACTGTATTATTTTCCTGCCATTAAGCCAGTAGTAGAGTAACTTTGTGCCTGATAACTACCCCTAAAAAGTTTCTTAATGACTTGGATGGTTTAATCTAATAGTTAGAAATGAGATCCGTCATCTTGTCATTTATCCAACCTCTACTGTATAAATTGCTAATGAATGTCTTGCGGCCGTGTCAAATATACACATACTAGCCGGACAAGAAAAATATATACATACCTTTATCGATTCAATAAGCGTGGGAGTAGCATCTGAATATTTGTAAGTCAAAGGGTGCCATCCACGGCGTTCACGGTCTCTAGAGGATGATAAATCCCATGACGTGTGTGTCAGTGATCTACGTGTGAGTTCTCCTTCAAGGCCTTCTTGCTGAAAATCGAAATATAGCTTTCTTACAGAGCTAAACTATTATGGCGATGAAAGAGATACCATCACCGCTGTTTGAGCTTTCCAAAAGAAAGAAAATTTATCTTACAGCCAGTAATGTCTGAACATAATGCTCGTCCGGAATGCAATTGTGCTCCTTGGATGTATCAGCGGGCTGCAAGATTGCATAAATTATCAGTAGTAGTGTTGGTGCCATACTGCTTTGACCATGAAGCTGATTTCGTAGTTGAATAAAAGTTCAATTGTCTCAAAGACGAATAAGGGTACTTACAATGGGACGATCCCGCCAAAACTCAGGTAGCGATTTTCTCTGCACGATGCCACACATAGAACATGTCAAATACGAGGAAAAAAAAAAACAAAAGCAGCAAAAAAAATTTCCAAGGGAGCAACTTGATGAGATTACAAAGAAAAGAAAAACGGGGTAATGTCAGCATAGCCGAATTACCTTGCAGTGCAATTGAAAAGCTGTATCTGCAAATGGTCATACAACAATTAAAAGCCGAATTACCTTGCAGTGCAACTGAAACATAGGAAGGACTGTATCGTCTTTCACTACAACCTCGGCATGCTTCCTGGTCAAAACAGTCCACTGCAGCGGGAAAAAGAAAATGACAAGACTAAGATGAACTGTAGGGAACTTGCATGGTAGAAGTAAGAAGCACTTATTAGGTTTTCTATTTAGTGGTGCAATGAAATTCAAGGGGCAATCAATTCATCATGCCAACCCGTACCTGTGATCCTTTTCTCCAGTTATGGACAGGAATTGCAGGATACATTTTTGGATTATAGCGGCCCTCTTTCGTATCAGCAAAGCTGCTCCCAAAAATTAATGGTTAAATATGCTTTCAAAACTGTCCGTCATAAGTACGACACAAAGATATAGATTGTACGAATCTTTAGGAGATAACATAAAATGATTCATTATGAAGTAGATTCACATCGAGATGCAGGTCGCTAATGATATGTGTACACTCTGAAGATGAAACCGAAATGGCCCCTCTATTGATTATATAGAATGCAGATACCGACTGATGACTGCAGACCACAGACAAGCGATTCTTTCAAACATACACAACGACGATAATAATAATACATATTTGATGTGGTTTATTCACCTGTCTACGAAACTGGTTCTCTCTGACATGATGTAGTCATATATATAGCTGAAATTGTAGAGGGGAATGCAGCTGAAAAGAGATTGAGTAACTGAGATATTGTTAGATGATAAAAAATCACAAAATTTTATGAGAAAGAAACTAGCAGGCCCCAATTTATGCGACTGCAACCTAAGGGGAAAAAACGTCGAGACAATCTTCACCTATCAGAAACAAAGGCAAAGCGTTGATTGAGAGGATCCTCGAGTGCGTGTCTGAGTAATATACGCTCTGCTTCAATCATGCTTGCTTCTCCCCAATCTACCTGGTATAGAACACAAGAAATAACTATAACATCGCGACGAAAGACAAAAAAATAAAAAAATCATCTTTATTCACATAGTTCAACTGAATCTGTAAGTATACATAAAAGTAAAGTTCACTCAAGTAGCTTGTGGATCAACTCTCTAACTTAACACTTTGAAGTTTTCAAGGGTTTAGGGCATGTTTGGAAGTGCTTTTAAAAAGGCCAAAAGCGCTTTTGGTGAAAATTAACCAATCCTTAGTAAAAGTGCAAGTGAATCATCAGGAAAAACACTTGAAGTGCTTTTGGAACCTAAAACATTTTATGTATAAGCGCTTTCAGTTATTTTAAATCACATTCAAATGAGCCCATTATCTTCCATATGCTCATAAGTCATACCTATGACATATATCCCTTAATTTATCAGTTCGATACGAAGCCGAGAAAACAAATTCAAACTTTTCCAGCTTACAATACACATGTTTAGAATTGTGCTTTTAGCATAGCTGAAAGTGCTTTCTGCCAACTGAGAGATGCTTTTGACAACATTTGGCATTAAGACTTAAAAGTGCTTCTGGGTCATAGAATCACTCCCAAGAGAGGTGCTTCTACAGAGGCACTTCCAAGCGCTTTTTTAAGAAGCACTTCCACTTGGAGTTTGAATTAAAATTTCTAGTGTTCCAAAATAAAGTGCATTTTGAAAAAACGCTTCTGATACACATGACATTGTATCTAATAAAAGCGCTATTAGAAAAAGCGCTTATGATACACATATGACATTGCATTTCCAAATTAAGAATTCAAGTTAGGAAATAGAACAGTAACTCCCACCTGTATACTATCATTGACTTGACGATTCAAGAAAAAAACTGATCTTGTGGTGGCCTTGTTGAACAGAAACCCCGGCCTTGAGTGAACATAAATCGAAAACCTACTCTCCCCTCCCTGCAACCAAAAATAAGAACAACAAAAACTCCATCTTTAATACAAAATGCCAACTTAATTACACTCCTAATCACTCTATTAGATCCAAAAACAAGTAATTAACTACTTAATTACCTGAAAGAAAACATCCCAAAGAACGTCTAACGGAATGCGATTGCGAGCGATGAACAAGAAGGCGATCTTAGGCCGTTGATTTTGCTGAGAATTTCGCAACGAAACGAGGGTCATAATCCGACTGTAGCGAGTGTGCATCAGCAGCACCAACGCCCCGAAGCAGAGCCCCACCAGAATCAAAGCCAAAAGCTTCCTCTTCCATTTTTGCTGCGCTTTCTGCGGACCCGCCTTCCGCTTCATTACTCACTCAATTAATAAGCTGCTTTTGCATTAAGCACTTTCTCAGCTCCCAAAACGGAAAGCTTCAGAAGTAGCTCACGCTCTCATCTCTCTCTGTTTCACGTGAAACCCAGAAGCCAGATCCACTTCCTTCAATCTCTGGATTCTGGGATTTCTGCGGCGGTAGAGGATTTGCAGCTTAAGCTTAATTAAGCTGCTTAAAGCTTAAAGCTCGAAACTTTGCAGGGATTTTCAGAGACCCAGAAGAAGTAGAAGTAGAGATTAAGCAGAATAAAGAGAGTGGGGGTTGGGGTTCCAATTTCGTAATATTTTTAACTTAAAGTTCGTTGTCGTGAAGTTGGGACTTGGGAAGTGTTCATAAGTTAGTTGAGAGCATCCCCACCGTGGGGTTTAGCTCGGGGGACGGGCTCCAAAACGGAGGCCCGAGTGAAGGTGGACCAGCTCCAGCGTTGGGAAGCCGGGGGGAAGGGGAAGGCCCGAGGGCCAGGCCCGTGAGGAATCGACAGGCCTTGAGCCCGGGGTGGGAGTGACGCCATGCTGACGCCAGCGTGGCGTCAGCCTATTATTTTATTTTTTTTGTGTCAGGCGCGTGCACCCCACCCGCGCGTGGGGGCGCGTCCTGACACATTAATCAGAAAAAAAAAAATGTTTGTCTGTTACCGTTGGGAAGCCACGTGGCTTCCCACGGTACGTTAGATCGTAACGGTCACTTAATGTGGACCGTTAGATCTCAACGGTAAAAAATTTTCAAACTGTCAGATTTAATATCCACCGTTCGATCTGAGATCAACGGTGGATATTAAAATGCTTTAAAAATTAAAAAATAAATGAAAAAATAGTTTTAAAAATATGAAAAGTTACCGTTGTGACACGTGGCACAATCTGGAGCGTTGGAATTCAAATTTTTTTATATCCAACGGCAGAGATTAATTAATTGAATAAAAATTCAAAAAAAAATGTAAAAAATTCAAAAAAATTCAAAAAAAAATCTGAAAAAAATTGTAAAAAAAATTGTTTTTACTTTTCTATAAATACCTTCTCATTATCATCTACCTTCACAATAATTTCATATTTTCTCAACCACTTTCAATCACATTCCTTTCTTTGTCTCAAAGTTTGAATCAATTTTTTTTCAACAAAATGACCACTGGTGCAGGTACGAATTGGTCGCTTATTGAAGATGTTGCGTTGTGTACTAGCTGGGTTGAAGTTACTCATAGTTCGCTTACGGGTAATGAGATGCAGTTAAGAGAAATGTGGAGTCTTATTCATACCAATTATCTTGAGAAAATTGGTGGGAAAAGAACCAAAGAATCGATGTCCAGTCGTTGGAAATTACTTAGCCAATCGTTTAGTACGTGGAGAGACGCTTTGGCACAAGCTAGTAATAATATTCGAAGTGGGGAAAATTACTCGGATATGGTAACAAGATATTATTATTTATTGTTTGTATTCTTTATTTGTTACGTACAAAATTTATTATTTATTGTTACTTATTTGTTACATTATAATTATGTTGTTTGTTACATTATAATTATGTTATTGTTACTTATTTGTTACATTTATTTGTTACATTATAATTATGTTGTTTGTATTATTTATTTGTTACTTATTTTCATTAAAATTAATGTATATATATATATATATATATTTGTTAATTATTTTCATTATTTACTAAACTTGAAGCCTTCTTATTTGCTTTGTTACTTATTTTCATTATCTTTGTTACTTATATATATATATATATATATATGTATATATTTGCTAGTTATTTATTTTCATTATAATTATTTATTTGTTACTTATTTTTATTGTGTAGGAACTTCAAGCACAAGCTTGGTATGCTGCCAAAACCAAAGGCAAAAATAAATCATTCAACCGGTGGGAATGTTGGAATATTGTCAAAGATTGTCCTAAATTTAGAGTTGTGCCAGTTGGTCCAGAAGTGCACATGAACAGCACCCCTCTACACTCTACACCCGATCATGTTCATGAAGATGATGCAGAAGAAGTGCCCGAAACGCCCCTCCCTGAACAAGCGTCGGGTTCGACCCGTTTTCCAATTAGGCCTCAAGGTAAGAAGGCTACAAAGAGAAAAGGGAGTGCTTCCAAGAACGATTATGCAAAGTTCATGGAAGAACTTACTCGCCAAGGTGAATTGACTTTGGCGAGGGAACTGGCGAAAGATGAGGCTGATAAGGCTGATAAGGCATCAAAAGCAGCAGCTGTTGAGAGAGAATTTTATGCTAATGAGAGAGAAAGAGAGCTACTTAGGCAAGAAAGGGAACATGTTAGAGAAGAAAGACGAGCTCAACAAGATCGTGAGATTATGAACATGTCTTTAGAAGGGAAGTCTCCAAATTCTAAATTTTTTTGGAAGTCAGAGAAAGCGGACGTGGTGCGAAGGAGGCGTGCAAGAGAAACAATAGCAAGCCAAGGTGGTTCTAGCACCGCAAGAGAAGATCATCCTAGCAGCACAAATTGGTTAAGTGATGATGAATAGAGTACTTTTTGTAATCGGAGCCCATAATTTTCCAATCACTTTGGGTTGTAATTTATTATTTATGTTGTTTCCATGTTCATGAATATTTATTCAAATTAATTTGGTAAGTTATTTATATTAAGAATTAATTTGGTAAGTTATTTATATTAAGAATTAATTTGGTAAGTTATTTAATTTGGTAAGTTATTTATATTAAGAATTAATTTGGTAAGTTATTTAATTTGGTAAGTTATTTATACTAAGAATTACATAAACATAAACATAAAAAAATTACATAAACATACTAAGAATTACATATACTAAGAATTACATAAACATACCAAATAATAAAACACACCAAATAAAATAACATAAACATACCAAATAAATTAACATAAACATAAACACACTAAAATGAACTTAATTATCCTCAGCTTGTTTCAATGCCCACTGGTGCTCTATCAAGTCAATTTGTCGGGCATTGTGCATGTCTGGCATTTGAAATGCAGTATATCGTTGAATGAGCCTTTCATTGTAACGTCCATCCCTTTGTAATGGCTCATGTTGCACGGGGTCATCGGTGGCGTCATGAGCACAATATATACGTGTTCTTGAATTGTTCATCGGGTCTGGCTCATATTCATCAACAGCTTCATAATCGTACTCATCTTCCACAATCATGTTGTGAAGAATGATGCACGTCATCATGATGGATCGAAGCGACTCTACATCAAACAATCTGGCCGCACCCCTGACGATCGCCCAGCGAGCTTGGAGGATACCAAAACAACGCTCCACATCCTTCCTGCACCCCTCTTGACAGCTTGCAAAGTGTTTTTCCTTCGCACTCCGCGGACGTGGCACTGTTTTGACAAATGTTGACCAGCGCGGGTAGATGCCGTCAGCTAGGTAGTATGGCCCGTCGTACATACGTCCGTTGACCTCATATGTAACTTTTGGTGCCTTTCCTTGCAGGACATCGTTGAACACTGGGGATTGGGCAAGGACGTTGATGTCATTTTGAGCTCCCGGGACCCCGAAAAAGGCGTGCCAAATCCATGTATCAAAAGATGCCACCGCCTCCAGAATGATACTTTTTTCCCCTTTTCTGTCCCCGTAAGCACCTTGCCATGCACTTGGACAGTTTTTCCACGTCCAGTGCATACAATCAATGCTTCCAATCATCCCAGGAAAGCCACGCATCTCCGCCTTCTTTAACAGCCGCTCCAAGTCCATGTGTGTGGGTTTGCGGAGGTACTCAGCGGTATAGATAGATTCGATTGCTCCGCAAAACCTCATCAGGGACTCAAGAATGGTTGATTGCCCCATCCTCGTTATCTCATCCACTTGGTCTGCAGATGCTCCATATGCAAGCATCCGCAAGGCAGCAGTAATTTTTTGCTCCGGCAGTAGACCCATAGCACCAAAAGCATCTTTTTTTTGCACAAAATAAGAATCATGGTTGCAAACAGCAATCATGATTTTGTTGAACAAATGTCGTTCCATTCTAAAACGACGTCTAAAGTACGTATCAGGGAATGCACTATTAGGAACAAAATAATCATCCAAGAGTTCCATACCTCGTCGTTGCCTGCTTCTATCAATGTTTCCGGAACGCCTGGGCCTGCAGATCTGAGCTGCAGCTTGGATGACTCGACGGGAATGTGAGGCTCTGCCCCTTCTTACGTCGTCATCTCTCATTTGACGCTCCTCATCTTCTTCCCTCTCATTTCTTACCCGCTGCTGATTGAACATTGATTCTGATTGGTTAAACAAGTCTTCCTCTTCCTGATTCAATTCCCACATCATCCTTGACGAAGAAGAAGAAGACATTGAAAGAAAGAAACAGAAACTATGAATATTGAAACTAATTTTTGTGAATAAGGAAGCAGAAATTATGAATAATGATAGAGATTTTGAGAATTTTGGTGTGAGATTTCTGAAGATGGAAGGTGGATTATATAGAGGATTCAGAAAGGATTAGGTTCTGCATAATGCCACGTGGCATGCCGTCATTCGTTAAAAATCTGATGGAAATCTATCATCCAAGATTGTTAACAGATTATGACACGTGGCATGCCGTCATTCGTTTAAAATCTGATGGAAATCTATCCTCAAAGATTGTGAACCGATTATGACACGTGGCGCGACGTGATTGGTTAATAATCTTATCAGAAATCCATATTATAATTATTTATTTTGTATTATTTAATAATACTTAGGATAATGACACGTGGCGCACCGACAACGATTAAAAATCTTATCCGATATTACATTTAAAATTATTTTGTATTAATTTTATAAATAAAAAAAAAACTAATATTTTATTGCCTATTGCCAGGGCTATAGAAGTGTAACGGTGGAGATGCAAAATCTATTGCCAGGGCTACTTACTGTTCATTAAGGGCAATTACTGTTCATTAGGTGGATTGAATAGTGAATTGCCAGGGGGGAGGGCTCCAACGCTGGAGTTGCTCTGAGAGAGTGGCGTGCGATGTGGGGATAGAATAAGAACCCTTTTGTGCGCCTTTTTCTTTTGTAACAGTTTTTCGACTTTCCGGACAGTAAAATGCTGATTTGGGCAAAGATTATGTGTATTTACTCTTTTATCTGTGCCTAAATTGTGGACTGTTTTTCCAGCAATTGAGTTTTGGAACGGACAGATAATCTAGACCGTTCAAGAGAGATCTAGCGGTTTAAAGGCTTGACTTGGTTTGTACTTATTCAATATTGAATTGTAGTTTTTTTATTTAAAAAATAGACCAGATGATGGTTTCGTCACGTTAGTTTTCTCTTTCGAGGGCTAAGAAGACTCACAAAGGTATTTCAGCTACCTATGACCACCGTCGGACGATTCTCCACCGTTAAAAATCGAATCTAGAACGTACTGTGTAGAATATAGGTTTAGAATTCGTCTTCAACTACTAAACCAACTCTGTGATGATGAATAGTGAACTGAAGTTTATTGCAACTTGTAATGATTGCAAATGACAACACTACGTAGTGAAGGTTTCAGTTACATATCTTTTAATTCATGCATACTATCATTGACTTGACGACTCGGAAAAAAAAAAAAAAAAAAAAGCGATCTTGTGGTGGTCTTGTTGAACAGAAAAACCGGCCTCGAGTGAACATAAAAAGTTATAATTTAAGATAATAAACAAAGTGGGAAATGCAGTATGATTATTAGGGTTTGTGTAAATGAATATTTGGTTGGTGACGGTGAAAGAAACATATCAACTAACAACCAAAAGTTATTAATATCAATTATGAATTATTTGGTGAGGGTTCATCATATGCATTAATAACATTAGGCACATGCTGCATTTGTTAAATGTAAGCAATTGACCTGCTAATAAGTTAATCTGGAAAAAAAAAATTGTAGCTCAATTTGTTAAAAGCATTTAATTTTACATATGAGATTTCAAGTTCGAATCTCTTAAAATGAATGGTTTTTTCCTTTGATAAGATGAAAAGGCAAAAGTATATTATAATTATAAATTCTTCTATAAAAAAAAGGGATCAACTGGTGATTTCGTCACGACAGTCCATCTTCCGGGGCCTGAAAAACTCACAGAGACATTTCTATCTTCCTCTGGCCACTATTTTGTGATTCAATAGTGCCAAGAATCAAACCCATGACATACTGTTAATATGAGTCTGAAATTCGTTTCAAATCAGCGAGTCACTTTGTGATGGTATTTCAAATTATAAATGACGTGGTCCTTTTGGTGTTTCTTTGACACCCACTTATTGTCACGAGCCCAATAATAATCGGGCTTGGGCTCTATGGGCCAAGAGGTATCTCCAGGTCCAGGAATGTCCCTCTCAGTTGAAGGAATAACAACGACGTCGTCCCGCTCATCGATAAGAGAACCGTTGAAGCTCGGCTCTTCGCCGCCAAAAGATGTCGATTAGGTCGGTATCCACCCGCCCCCAATTTACCGCCAAAAGGTACAAGTCTCAAATCCCTCCATTTTTTCTTCCGAATCCGAATCCGCATCGTCTTTTGTGTTTTTACAATTTTGTTTTTCTGTGTTTGTCAAATCGAAGCTCGCCGGCGAGCGAAATTGGAGCAAGCCCAAGCTGCGCAGTCCTCAACTTCTCGAATTTGCAGAGAGGCCCCTCAAGAAATGGAAATTTGAGCAGAAGGTTGTGCAGGGGTAGCGCCAATGGAGGATTCGGACAGAACCCTCACGGGGTCTGTGACGGAGACGGGGTCATCATCGTCGACCATGGTTCGCGCCGCAAGGAATCAAATCTCATGCTAAGTAAGCTAATCAAATATTTGAGATTACGGATTGAAATCGCAATTTTTCTTTTGATTATTGTAAAAAGTTTGGATTTTTAAGATTGTTAATAGGAAATTGAACTGTATGAATTTTTTCAGATGAGTTCGTGAGCATGTTTAGAGAGCGAACTGGGTACCCAGTTGTGGTGGCAGCTCATATGGTACAATAATTAATTAATTTTTGTAATTAACTTTTATATTTTTAGGTGAATGTTGACAATGCGTTTTTTGATGCTCTAATGTTGGTCGAATTCTCATTTTGTGGATAAATTTTCGATGAGTAGGAGTTGGCGGAACCATCAATTCGGGATGCATTCAGTTCATGCGTTGAACAAGGGGCGAATCGTGTTGTTGTGAGCCCGTTTTTCCTCTCACCTGGTAGGCATTGGAATACGGTAGCTCAACTGACAATTAATATCGACGGGGTATTGTTTTTAATAGCTCACTCTACGAATGGTCTAGAAAACACGGTGATTGAATGGATTAGAGCGTTTTATTTTACAGGATATTCCGTCCCTGACAGCTGAAGCTGCAAAGGAGCATCCTGGTGTATCTCATATCGTAACTGCGCCTCTTGGCCTCCATCATCTACTCGTGGTATGACTATGGGATTTCCTCAGTTGTCAGTTTTTTCTTTGCCTACACGTCACAGAATTTCTCGAGCTGTGGTGAATTTATGTTGATGCTTAAATTGATGGTTGAATGTAGTTTTAGAAACAGATAGATTTAGGTAGGAAGATTGTGCTTGTTATAAATCGCTCAACTATGTTTTTGCTATACTCGATGTGCATTTCAACTGTATTACAGTAATGTGCTTTCATTCAAAGTCATGCAAGGTCTCTGGTTGCAGGATGTTTTGAATGATAGGATCAATCACTGCATAAGCCATGTTGCTGGAGATGCAGAGGAGTGCGCCGTTTGTGCTGGAACAAACAAATGCCAGCTCCATTGATTTATGCAGAGCTCACAGCAAAATATTATGGCGCTCATAATCATGGGACCATTTCAGCTTTAAAACCAGGAGATTGATCCTCTAACGAAGCGATTGTTGTGGTTAGGATTTTAAGGGCGTGTGGCTTGCTTTGGAGGACCAGGATTCACACGACGATCCCCCAATTCCCAAATATTTGGAACAGGGCTTTTCTACTTATTGATTGCTCGATGGATGGCAAGTCGATATTTTCATGGCAGCGGAGGTATGCTCTTGTGACGTAGAAGGAAATGAGGGGATATCGCAGGTATTATCTTAGGACCTCAAGTACCAATCCTGTATCATACATTTTGCAGATCAATCTGCATGTGTTGAAGGCTAATCTTCGTAAATATTTTCAATTGTATATGTAAAATTTTTTAGTTGCAATAATATGAAAGGTAATTGCAAAAGCCATCCAGCCTATTGTAGTCTTATTTACTACTTTTAGAACAACAATCTAACTATATATTACAAAGCCTTTTAGTCAAATTTTTGCTTGCTTCATGGAACTTGAGGCTCGAATCAATTTCGAGAATGCTATTGGAGCAAGTGATACTGGTTTGTTTCAGTTTCTTGTCCGTTGAGACGATCGCCATAGCCATAGGAATGGCCGCAGAACATTCCACCCCACTGAGGGAAGTAGATGAGGGAGACTGGGAGAGTGCACACAAGCATCATCACACCCATCAGAGAAATGCTCGTCTGCTTGGAGAATTCCGTGCCTGAAAACAACAGCAGCTGGGTTACCACCGCCCCCATCGTCCCTCCGCCGCCTGTGATCCCTGATACCACTCCCAGTGACCTGCATAAGTAAACAGAGATGTTTACATGCTAACTATGCATGCAAACTGAAGGAATTATAGTTGATTCAAACCTACGTCAGAGCACTATAATTAGTCATAGTATAGCTAGCTAGTCACACTCCAACAGAGTTATGCTAGGATCAGTCGTAATTCTCGTGTTTATTGGTTTTTGGCTTGTTAATACGAGATGATTGTTGGTGCTGATGGTGCATGTCACCAGCAATCCCCATTAGCACCGATAATCATCGACCACTTAACTACGTTACCGACTGATTTTTGCGTGAGTGATTTCTAACTGTTGGTGTTCATACGTCACCAACTCCCATCAATACCAACAATAATAATCACCGGAAAGAAATCCTTTCTTCATCTCTTCTTCCAAAGTTCAGGGATCAAATAATCCGGATCTTTAAAAATTAGAAAAATTAATGAAAAGAATTTAAAAACTTTGAGTTTTAACGATAAAGATAAAATAAAGGGTAAAGTAAATAGTACCATGATTTACTTTTTAATGTAAAAATATGATTTTTCGTTAAAGTTCCCTTAATATTTTGATCCAACGGCTAAAAATTATTATAGCTTTTAAAAATTCTTACTAATTTCTCTGTTTTTAACCGTTGGAACAAATTTTAAAGGCCTGGATCACTTGATCCCTGGGCTTTGGAGGGAGAGATCCGGAGAATCCGGACCTTCCAAATTTTATCCAACGGCAAAAAATTATCACCTTTTAAAAGTTCAAAACAAATGGATCGTTGGATGAAATTTGAAAGGCTCGAATCACTTAATCTGATGACCTTGATGAAAGAGACATAATCACCCAAACATCGCGTCATCAAGAATAAGTGGTAGAAGTGGGACCAACACAGAGAGGAATATGCCTCGTGGAGTGTCATTTCATCGTTCGTACCTTTTGGACACAAATGGCACCACACCAAACGTAAGGCCGGCGGCAGCTTGTACAAAGACAGAGAATGCACACATGACAAGTATGGACCCCCAAAGCGAGTTGACTCGTCCGAGTAGCAAACACAACAACCCCGCCACCGTCTGCGCCACCCACAACCCCCACAACCTTCCCCTCATCCCGAACCTTCTCGCCAGCCTATCGGAAACCAACCCGCCGCTCGGCCTCGAAAAGAAATTCGCCATTCCGAAGCTCGCCGCTATGATCCCCGCCACCTCAAGATTCACACCAAATCTGTCGTAGAAATACTCAGCTATGATATTATCAGTGGTCAACTCCACCCCAAAACTGAAGGCATAAGTCAACGCCAAAATCCATGCTCTATAATTCTTGGCCCCATTAAAAATAACACTTAACAAGCTCTCTTTAGACTTGTTGTCGACATTCTGAGAGCGTTTGTAGCTCCCAGAAGGTAGGTCTTGGCCAAATGCCAGGACCAATAGGGCAGTCACAGTTTGAAAAATTGCTGGCACGAAGAACGCCAGCCTCCAAGCAGTGGAGGAAGGCACGTTGAATGACATGATGAGAGAATAAATGAGTGGCATGACCATCTGGGTGACGCCGGAGCCCATGTTGGCCCAGCCGGCAGAGAAGCCGTTGGCGAGGCCGACAACGCATCCCGAGAACATGCAGCTCATCCAGAACTGGTTGGCGACGAAGTTGGCGAGGGAGAAGCCAGCGAGAAAGCGGATGGCGATGAAGGAATTGGGGGAGGAGATGAGAGAGGTGGAGAGGATGATGGGGGCCGTGAGAAGGGAGAGGGTGCCGATGGCGATGCGGGGGCCGATGAGGTCGCATATAGGTCCCATGGCAATGCGGGAGACGATGGAGCCGACGAAGGCCGCAGTGCCGGCATAGCCGGTGTCGGTGTCGGTGAGATTGAGGTCGTTGCGGATCACGGCGAGGAGGGGAGGGATGGAGAAGGTGGAGAAGAAGTTGGAGAAGAGGGAGAGCCATGCAAGGTGGAAGGCCAGCATGTGGGGTGGTGCTATTGAAAATAACCTCAACTCTGTGGCCTTTTGATCAGCATCCACTGGTAGTTCAAACATATTACAATGATCTTTTAGTACTTGTTCTTCGTCAGCATCAGCTTCCATTGCGGTGGCGGGGCGGTGGTGGCTGCGGCGGTGGTTGTTAACTATTAATTTGTTTAGTGAATTTTGTGATTTTCAGAATTTTTTTCCTTTCTTTGAAAAGCTTAAGGTAAAGAAGGAAAAGGAGGCAGAAGCATTGCACGCAAATCTTCCTGTCTGACTTTTTTGGTGCTTTAGGTTTAGATGCTGTGTCAAACAAGTTTATAGTTACTGCGCAGAATATGTCGATAACAATCTTATTAGTGGGAGATATTTTCAGCGTGTCGAACACAGCCTGACACATTATATGTTATAATATAATTGGTTTAAATTCTTTTTAAGTTACCAACTATTTGAATTATGATATTTGGTGTATTAAGCAATTTTTTGATATATTAAAAAATTTCTCTATTAATGGCTAATAATTCTATTATATAACTGTTGATATACGTTGATACGCCTTTTACCCACTTTATTATGTGCAAGTATTTTGGTGAGTATTATTATTTTTGCTTGTACTCATCAACAAATATATATATTGGTCATTAGCCGATGTAATAGACCTCTTTTTATGACATTCCAATTTAATAACACAGTAATATATGAAGAGAAATTTATACATACAATTATATTATTATACTGAACTTATAATAACGGTGAACTCGCTATATAACTCATTTCTCTTTCAATTAGTCATATGTATCAATTTGCGGATCAATTTGCTTTCACTAGTTCCAACCTTTGCTTTCAAGTGTTCAATTGAACACTAGTTGGACTTATGTGGACAAAGACAAAAGATGAAGGGGTACGTGTCAAAGGAGAAAATTTTAGGTCGACAGTTTAGACAAATATTTCTTCTCTCTTCTTTCAAATATCACGATAAGGAGAAAATTTTATGTCGACAGTTAATTTAGACAAAATTTCTTTTATATTTAGGTATCACTTGATTGTAATTAAGTACAAAGTCCAATGCAAAGGAATAGTTAAGCACAGGTAAGGTTATTTACATACTTATTTTTACTTCTCATACACCTTCTCAATTTTCAACTGTTAGGTCGTATGAATTGAAGATGATCAAACAAAAGAACGTGAAAGATAAAAATCGATGTCTGAATAACACTTTCCTTAAATACAAAGCCCAGCAAAAACGTTTCATTCTTTTGCGAGTGGGTCAGACATTTCATATAATCTGACTACGGACACAAAAATTGAATGGTAGGAGACAACCATGTGTCGAGTGGTGCGTTTTATCCTCTCAAATGGTGATGGATATTTTCGCCTTTGTTTGGTCAGCCTTGATCTAGATTTATACTCGGGACGGCTCTATATACACATATAGCAAATTTCGTAAGTGCATGCATATGGTCTTTTTTTCCTTTTTCCTTTTTTTTTTTTTTTTTTTTTCTCCGGCAAGGTTGCAACTGCTCTTATTTTCTTACTTAATTTCAGATATACATTTTTTTCATAAAAAGAAACAAGACATAACAACCTTGTAATCTTTCGCAAGGAGCTTCTCGTAACTCAAGTAATTAAAAATATTTATCTGAATACCCGAGATCTTTTAAGTTTGATTTCCCCTCTCTAACACCAAGCGTGCGAAAAGATGAAAAGATGTAAATTGAGTTATAGGATTCCAAGTGAAGGTTAAGGTAAGTTGATCAAAGTAAAAGGTGGATTGAAATGACATTGATGGGGTGGTTATGACTGACAAAAAAAAAAAAAAAGTGTGGAGAAGCATGGATGGAGCTAGAAACATTTTTAGTGAGAGCAACTTCGAATAATGAAATTAAATTAAAATTTTGATACAATGCTATTAACTTAATGTTCAACAACATGATTTTGGGTAATTGGTGTTTAGAATGGTGAAATATAAATCATTAGGTAATGGAAAAAATTACATGGCTCAGAAAGTGTGAGAGAGTAGAAATAATGTAGAACTTCATAGAGTATTTTAAAATAAGTGTTTGAACTGATGCTTCATTTCTAAGTGTATAAATAATTTGGCATATGTTGCCTCCGTCCATGTGAAGAAGAATCAAATCAAATAATGGGGGAAAAGATTACTATTTGGCATTTCCTTTTTTGTAGCATTTACTGTGTGTCCAAATCATGATCTGGAAATTTTCAGTAAATAGAAATTTCCTCACATCACATAACCACGACAAAAGTAACTTGGAAGACCAAAGCACCCTTAATAGCCTTGATAGGGATGGACAAACTTTGTCATGCTGAAAGTAGAATTTAGTGAAGTTGGCTAGAGCAGACAGGCGTGAATAATGCATACGAGTTTGAGTTGTTATTTTGTATAACTCAGATTAGTTAAAATTTGGAATTAAATTCAGATTAATCGCTTTGAAATTGGGTTGGATATGAATATATTGCTTGAATCGATTATGTAACATTTGGAGTTGGATTGAAATGAGGTTTTTAAGTATATCGTTCATAGTGGTAGAGCCAAATTCTTTGTGAGAGAGGGTCTTTCATATATGTATAGATAAAAAATTTCAAAATCTAACATTAACAATTGAAGTAGTCTTCACAAAATTGAAAGACCCATTAAATGTAATAGAGAGA